CCAGCATCAAGATATATTTCTTGAGAGTAAAATATCTTAAAACTTAGGTTAAATACTTAGTATCACTTCCTGTTGACAGCAAACTAGACTTACACTTACTGCAACAACATTTTTTACTATTTACCGAAATTCAATGATAACAAATCAAGTAAAAGGACACAAGTGCAACTAATGTGACATTTATTGTGGCAACGTTTCGCTCTCCAGGAGCTTTATCAAGCCATTACGAAGAAGGGTGTCCAAATAACGTCTGCATGAAAAGTCCATTATGTTGTGGTGTCCGACAGATTGTAATAAAGTTGGTAGAATTACCAACAATATGTAAAGTAAAAGAACACAAGTGCAACTAATGTGACATTTATTGTGGCAACGTTTCGCTCTCCAGGAGCTTTATCAAGCCATTACAATGGCTTGATAAAGCTCCTGGAGAGCGAAACGTTGCCACAATAAATGTCACATTAGTTGCACTTGTGTCCTTTTACTTTACATATTGTCGGTAATTCTACCAACTTTATTACGATAACAAATCAGTACAGGTAATGTTGTATAGTACAGTGGACCCCCGGTTAACGATATTTTTTCACTCCAGAAGTATGTTCAGGTGCCAGTACTGACCGAATTTGTTCCCATAAGAAATATTGTGAAGTAGATTAGTCCATTTCAGACCCCCAAACATACACGTACAAACGCACTTACATAAATACACTTACATAATTGGTCACATTCGGAGGTGATCGTTATGCAGGGGTCCACTGTATATTCTTTCCCAGAAACAAATGAAATTAACAGATTATTAAATGTATTTGTTAAACTCTAGTTCTTAAGTGAATCCTTCACTCTGATAGGCACCATATGAACAGTGTGAAATTATTTTATTTACAGAAAACTAAATTTTGTAAACCAAACTTGATACAGTAGGGCCACTTAATGGTATGTATTGTTCATAAATACTTTTTTTTTTATTTTTATTATCACACTGGCCGATTCCCACCAAGGCAGGGTGGCCCGAAAAAGAAAAACTTTCACCATCATTCACTCCATCACTGTCTTGCCAGAAGGGTGCTTTACACTACAGTTTTTAAACTGCAACATTAACACCCCTCCTTCAGAGTGCAGGCACTGTACTTCCCATCTCCAGGACTCAAGTCCGGCCTGCCGGTTTCCCTGAACCCCTTCATAAATGTTACTTTACTCACACTCCAACAGCACGTCAAGTATTAAAAACCCCTCCCTCCAACCTTTCCTAGGCTGACCCCTACCCCGCCTTCCTTCCACTACAGACTGATACACTCTTGAAGTTATTCTGTTTTGCTCCATTCTCTCCACATGTCCGAACCACCTCAACAACCCTTCCTCCGCCCTCTGGACAACAGTTTTGGTAATCCCGCACCTCCTCCAAACTTCCAAACTACGAATTCTCTGCATTATATTCATACCACACATTGCTCTCAGACATGACATCTCCACTGCCTCCAGCCTTCTCCTCGGTGCAACATTCATCACCCATGCTTCACACCCATACAAGAGCATTGGTAAAACTATACTCTCATACATTCCCCTCTTTGCCTCCAAGGACAAAGTTCTTTGTCTCCACAGACTCCTAAGTGCACCACTCACCCTTTTCCCCTCATCAATTCTATGATTTACCTCATCTTTCATAGACCCATCCGCTGACATGTCCACTCCCAAATACAGTGGACCCCCGCTTAACGAACACCTCCAAATGCGACCAATTATGTAAGTGTATTTATGTAAGTGCGTTTGTACATGTATGTTTGGGGGTCTGAAATGGACTAATCTACTTCACAATATTCCTTATGGGAAAAAATTCGGTCAGTACTGGCACCTGAACATACTACTGGAATGAAAAAAGTTCGTTAACCGGGGGTCCACTGTATCTGAATACATTCACCTCCTCCATACTCTCTCCCTCCAATCTGATATCCAATCTTTCATCACCTAATCTTTTTGTTATCCTCATAACCTTACTCTTTCCTGTATTCACTTTCAATTTTCTTCTTTTGCACACCCTACCAAATTCATCCACCAATCTCTGCAACTTCTCTTCAGAATCTCCCAAGAGCACAGTATCATCAGCAAAGAGCAACTGTGACAACTCCCACTTTATGTGTGATTCTTTATCTTTTAACTCCACGCCTCTTGCCAAGACCCTCGCATTTACTTCTCTTACAACCCCATCTATAAATATATTAAACAACCACGGTGACATCACACATCCTTGTCTAAGGCCTACTTTTACTGGGAAATAATTTCCCTCTTTCCTACATACTCTAACTTGAGCCTCACTATCCTCGTAAAAACTCTTCACTGCTTTCAGTAACCTACCTCCTACACCATACACCTGCAACATCTGCCACATTGCCCCCTATCCACACTGTCATACGCCTTTTCCAAATCCATAAATGCCACAAAGACCTCTTTAGCCTTATCTAAATACTGTTCACTTATATGTTTCACTGTAAACACCTGGTCCACACACCCCCTACCTTTCCTAAAGCCTCCTTGTTCATCTGCTATCCTATTCTCCGTCTTACTCTTAATTCTTTCAATAATAACTCTACCATACACTTTGCCAGGTATACTCAACAGACTTATCCCCCTATAATTTTTGCACTCTCTTTTATCCCCTTTCCCTTTATACAAAGGAACTATGCATGCTCTCTGCCAATCCCTAGGTACTTTACCCTCTTCCATACATTTATTAAATAATTGCACCAACCACTCCAAAACTATATCCCCACCTGCTTTTAACATTTCTATCTTTATCCCATCAATCCCGGCTGCCTTACCCCCTTTCATTTTACCTACTGCCTCACGAACTTCCCCCACACTCACAACTGGCTCTTCCTCACTCCTACAAGATGTTGTTCCTCCTTGCCCTATACACGAAATCATAGCTTCCCTATCTTCATCAACATTTAACAATTCCTCAAAATATTCCCTCCATCTTCCCAATACCTCTAACTCTCCATTTAATAACTCTCCTCTCCTATTTTTAACTGACAAATCCATTTGTTCTCTAGGCTTTCTTAACTTGTTAATCTCACTCCAAAACTTTTTCTTATTTTCAACAAAATTTGTTGATAACATCTCACCCACTCTCTCATTTGCTCTCTTTTTACATTGCTTCACCACTCTCTTAACCTCTCTCTTTTTCTCCATATACTCTTCCCTCCTTGCATCACTTCTACTTTGTAAAAACTTCTCATATGCTAACTTTTTCTCCCTTACTACTCTCTTTACATCATCATTCCACCAATCGCTCCTCTTCCCTCCCGCACCCACTTTCCTGTAACCACAAACTTCTGCTGAACACTCTAACACTACATTTTTAAACCTACCCCATACCTCTTCATAAATACTACTGGTATTTATTTTCTAAAGAATTCTCTTATTTAATTTTTCTTTTTGAATCATACAAGTCCATTATTCATAACTGTTTTAGTCAATTCTTACGAGACAGTAAGAGTGCACTCAACATCTGACTTATCATAAAAATGCAGTAAAACACTATACTTACAAATTAAAGTTATAATAAAATACATTTACTGACCACATTAGTTATTTCCTACCAGGGTAGGGTGACTTAAACAAGGAATCACATTCACCATTAGTCACTTGTTAGCTGTCTTGCCAGAAGTGCATGGTTATTACAATTCATGTGACCCTCTGAACCACAACATCACCACCCATTCATCAGAGTGCAAGCACTGGAATATTTTTACATGCATAAACAGTTGATAAGCTCTGGTTTGCCTTTATTATCCGCAATGCTCTACATGTTTTTTTAATAATTTGTTCAGCATTTTAGTTCTCATGCTAATCTATTTTGATGCACAAAAATAAGTAGTGAAGATAAATTATTTGTTTCCTCTTATAATGACAGGTCTTTTTTCAACTTTACCCATAACAGTTCAGTAAAAGTTTATTTACTTATACAGTGGACCCCCGGTTAACGATATTTTTTCAATCCAGAAGTATGTTCAGGTGCCAGTACTGACCGAATTTGTTCCCATAAGGAATATTGTGAAGTAGATTAGTCCATTTCAGACTCCCAAACATACACGTACAAACGCACTTACATAAATACACTTACATAATTGGTCGCATTCGGAGGTGATCGTTATGCGGGGGTCCACTGTATATACAATATTTCCAAAGAACTACAATAATAAAAAAATTTCCTTCAAACCCAGATTTATTAAATTATTTATGTGGCACTGATATTCTTTGTTTCTTTCTTTATAAACATTTACAAGTGACAAGATATATTATAAAGAAACTTTCGTTTTTCCTTTTAGGTCACCCTGTCTTGGTGAGATATGGCCAGTTCGTTGAAAAAAAAAAATATACTGTACATGTAAAAATCAACAACTGACTTTACCCCTTGGAAAAGGGAAGCAGGGAAGAACTGCAACATGGTTGTGTCTCTTACATAAATCTAATAGTATTAGATTTAAACATTACCATTCATTTAAACTGAAAGCTATTTCTTTTGCTTTACACCACACTTAAATTTTACCTTCAGTATTTTCAGTGTTTTTTTTTTTTTACAATTTAACATAAATTATGATGTACTTTTTTATTACCCAATTTTTTTATTAATAATGGAAAACTAATGTCTGGCAAGAAACATTTTCCATCAAGGGAGGTTTCTTGATGCTAGTGATAGAATGTAGATCCTAGGAACTAGAATTATCCTCCACTTCCTTGGATCAAACCCAATTGCCTCCTATTACCCAGGCACTGTATGACCCTATGGGTTTAGAGCTTCCCCCTAAATGCAATGAAATAATAGTAACAATACTCTTGTGTAGATTCTTAATTTTTTCAAACAGTTTGCAAAGCTTTGATTTTCTGAGTAACTATTATTCTGATATACATACAACTTTAAAAAAAAATCTGGCTAAGGCCAAATTCCCATAAGCCATAAGGTAAAAGGCAACTTAGTAAATTATAAATTCTGAATACAAACTCACCTCTGACAATTTGTTGTGTAGAATACCATTAGCCATATCATCTTTAAAAAGTTGGGGCCCCTGGATGAACCTTGATGTGTCTGCAGTGTTTTGTATTGCGTTCTCATCCAAACTACCTCCAGATTTTCTGAGCACCAAAGAACCAATGTTAAAAATATAAATAAAATATTGAAATACAGGAATTAATGTACAATTGTTAAGGATTCCATCACACACTGGATCAGTTCTTCATAGTAATGTTAACAAGTTAGCCAAAGAAAGTACCCTGAAGGAAAATGATGACTATAACGTTAGTGTGTCTGTATCTAGCATTAGGAATAATATTAGAAGAGAAGAAAATAATGAAACTGAATGTTATAGGAATGCAGTTAGAAGCCTAGTAGATCTATCACTCATTATGGTAGGAGGAGCATAGATAAACACATTTAACCCTTTGAGGGTCGACAGGCCCTCTCCGAGACTCGTTCTCAGGGTCGGCCAAATTTAAAAAAAAAAAAAAAAAAAAATTCTTAAGAAAAGATAGAGAATCTTTTCCCGATCATAATGACACCAAAAATATGAAATTTGATGGAAAACTTACGGAATTATGCTCTCGCGAAGTTAGCGGTCTCAGCGATGTTTACGCATCGGCGATTTTACCCAATTTGAGCCCCATTTTCAGCCAGTTCCACTGTACTAATCGACAAAAAACATGAATATTTCGCTAGAACTCCATTTTTTCTATTGAATGAGTGCTAGAAACCACCCAATTACCAATTTCAACTATCCAGTACAGTGGTCAGAATTTAGCAATTTTGCCAATTTCACACAAATTTCAAAAGATGCCCATTTCCGAATAGGGTCCAGAACAAACAAGAAATACATTCCAGGCACTAAAATGACATTTCCTCTGTTCATTAGTCACGTCTCAAGGCCCCTCTTACATTCTTTTGCTTTCCACTTTGAATTTTTATTCTCACAAACAATAGAAGATTTACTGTTATGCAGACTACTGCATTAGTGTAAAAAATGGTACGAATCATATTGGCACACTTGCAAAACAGTATTGGACTCACCAGTTGACGTGTATTGGACGCTTGGCATGATTTGTTTACTTTTGAACTTTGGTAAAAATCGAACATTTCTGCTACTTTGAGCTCAATTTCAAGGTACTTTTCATTGTAAAACCAGTCAAAATCATCTCAATTTCTATGATATGCCTTCCATTCTATAAAATGAGACCAAGAAAACTAGAATACAACAATAAATACTATACGAAAATACAGTGCAAAGTCGCTGTTTTATTCCCAAAAAACGGTCAAAGTTTTTTTTTTCTCATTATGCACTGTGTGCTGCAGGATTTTTTTTTTACCGTGCACACTGACCACATAGACCCATTCTTTCATATGGAGGCCTACCAGCTTTCTCCCACTAGATCTGAGGGCGCTAGAATTTAGGCGTACTAGTACGTCAAAAACCCTGGGTCGTAAGCCGTACTAGTACGTCCGAAACCCTCAAAGGGTTAAGGGGCAACTTGCAATGTGAACAGGCTGACTGATGTTCTAGTAGCCAGGCTTAGGCATGGCTACAAGTACTTCTGGCAGTTCGGCAGACACACAGATGATGACAAATCAAATGCAGCCATATGGTCAAATTTCATATGCAGTGGAACCTCGACTTAATCCATTAATCCATTCAGTGACCTATCTCATAAATCAATCTGCTCATATACCAAATCAATTTTCCTCATTTAAATTAACTGAAATGCCATTAATCCATTCCAGCGGAATTCCTGCTCTCTGGAGGCAGGACAAAATATGATGCTAATATCAATCTACAGCTTATTTATCTATCACAATTATTTATTTATTTATTTTATGTCTTTGCAAACAGTACATTGAGATTTTGTATTTACAATAGTGGGTTGCAATGCAAAGAGAGCCTCTATTATGCCTAGACATTATGGGCCAACTTAACATTACATGTACTGGCTTACAGACTACTTTACACTAAGGATTATATCATAGTTGCAAAGTAGAATAGTAATTATTTCATAGTTGAACAGTAGATTATTAATTATAAGTGAATAAAAATTTGTATAAGACAAAAGATAAATTCATCTACTCAAAAATGCTTTTTGTGAAAACAATGAATCAGTTATATTCCTGTCAACAATGGATAAAAGGTTCAAAGTGATTGTTGAAGTTATGATGTGGGAGTATGTAAGTAAGTGTGTACTAAGTATTAGCGTTTAGTCTAGGGTGATAAAGTGGCTTTTGAGAAGAGTCCTAAATTGATTTTCAGACCGGGTTACTTTAATATCTTCTGGTAATGAATTCCATATTTTGGGGCCCTTTATGTGCATAGAGTTTTTACACAGTATGATATGGATACAAAGTATATCAAAAAGAGATCTGTGTCTTGTGTTGTGGTCATGTGTCCTGTTTAGGTTGGTGAGAAGTTTGAGTGGAGGGTTTATATTTGCATGCATTGTTCTGTGTATGTAGTAGGCACATGAATAAGTATGGATGTTCTTAATGATGAGCAGATTCAGACTTTTGAAAATTGGTGGAGTATGCTGGCAGGAGTGGGAATTTGCCTTTTGCTGGGTTATTAGGGGTTTTAGGTGACTGGATGTTATTGATCCCCATGCATAAATTCCACATGTAAGATAAGGGTATATGAGTGAATGGTACAGTGCCAGGAGAGTTGATTGTGGAACGTAGTACCTTATCTTTGATAGTATGCCTACAGTCTTGGAGATTTTCTTGGTGATTTGTTTTATGTTTGTCCGGAACTCAAGGCTACTGTCAAGGAATTTTCCCTCTGTGAGTCTTCTGACTGATGATCCATTTAGAATTATGTTAACTGGATCATTTGCATCTTTGTTTCCAAACTGAATGAAATAGGTTTTATCTGTATTCAGGGTAAGTTTGTTAGTCATCATCCAGACAGATATTTTCTGCAATTCGGCATTGACTGTGTTTGCTAGTATGACTGTGTTTGGGTGGGAAAAGACATATGTAGTGTCATCTGCAAATAATATGGGTTTGAGTAGCTGTGATGCATTCGGTAGATCATTGATGTAGATGAGAAAGAGGAGTGGTCCAAGGACACTTCCTTGTGGGACTCCTACTGTGATTGGTTGGGTGGAAGAGTTTGCATCATTTGCATACACATATTGAGTTCTGTTACTAAGGTATGATTTTAGGAAGTTGAGGGAGTGGCCTCTGATACCATAGTGCGTTAATTTGGAGTACAGCAGTTCACGGTCGACTGTATCGAAAGCTTTACGTAAATCAACGAAAATGCCCAGAGGGACTTCTTTCTTTTCGAGTGCGGTATATATTAGTTCTAGCATGTGTATGATAGCATTATTTGTGCTTTTATTATTCCTGAATCCAAACTGACAAGGGTTTAATATGTTGTGTGAGACGAGGTAGGAATAGATCCGACTATGAATTAATTTTTCAAAGATTTTAAAGAGCAGTGGTAAGTTAGATATTGGTCTATAGTTATTCAAGTCAGCTTGGTCACCTCCTTTGTGGATTGGAGTGACCCTCGCTATTTTGAGGATTGTTGGGAAGGTAGATGATTCAATGGATTTGTTAAGGAGCGTTGCAATAATTGGTGACAATACTTGAGAAGCATTTTTGCGCATAAAAGCAGGCAAGTTGTTTATGTCTCCTGCCTTGTTTTTAAGGGTAACTTCTATGGGGTTGGTTGGAGCTAGGAATAGCATATTTGGGTAGGTACCTATGAGGTAGTCTGATGGACGGGTGTTTGCGCTTGGTATTTTGTTCACTAGATTTTTTCCTATGGTGGAGAAGAAAACATTGAGTCTGTTCACTGTTTCAGTAGGTGTGAGTAGGGGTTCATCTGATTTTGTTAGTTTGATTGTTTTGTTTTTGGATAACTTTTTAGTTCCAAGAATTTCAGATAGAGTTTTCCAGGTTTTCTTCATATCACCTTTGATGTTATGTAATCTATTTTCATAATACAATTTTTTAGACCTTCTTATCAGGCTGGTAAGTGCTGACGAATAATGTTTAGACTGTTCTCTAGTTATCTGACCCATTCTATACTATTTTTCATATTTGTGCTTTGTGTTAATGGATTTGAGGATGCTTGGTGTTAGCCAGGGATTATTCAGTCTCTTTGCTGTGAGTTGTTTAGTTTTTGGGGGGCAATGACATAATAAACAATATAAATAACACAGAAACATGATAAATACTCTAGAATGAATAAAATATGTCATTATGTGATGGGCGGTGGTGGCCATTGCCGCTCCTGCACTGACCATGCTTCCCCTTAAGAGGCCTTGTTATAAGAGAAAATGGAGTTTGTGAGGCTAACTGCACTAGATCACTAGTTTCAACCCCAACAACAAAGATAGGCAGAGGAGATTAGAGGAGTTCGTTTCGTTTCATGCTTTTTCTGCAGCTTAATCACTTAACTTACTTGCTACACTCTTAATGCTACACTCTATTGCTGAACTTAATTACTACACTCTTAATGCTTAATGCAAGGCAGTACCAATGTAATAGAAGTACATACTATGCTTGTACTGCCTCGCAAACAACCCGCACACCTCACACCTCGCTCGTGTTTATCTATGATTTCATGCTTTAATTCCATGGACATCATCATCTGTGGACATCATCTGTCGACATCATCCATGGACATCATCTGTGGACATCATAAACAGTGCACTGCACCAGCTGGCAGCATTCTGAAGCTCCTCGTTATTATTATTATTATTATTATTATTATTATTATTATTATTATTATTATTAAAAATAATAATAATAATAATTATACAGTGGAACCCTGAATATCAGCCGTAATCCGTTCCCGAAAGTCGGCCTAAATTCGAAAAGGCCTAAATTCGAAACAATATTTCCCGTAAGAATTAATGTAAATACAATTAATCCGTTCCACACACCCAAAAATATTAACAAGAAATACATTTTTTTTTTTGAAGATTAATTATAGTTTTACACACAAAACAATGAGAACTTAATAAAATAAATAAGTGAACATTTAAATCACTATTACATACCTTTATTGAAGACTCTTGTTGGCTTATGGAAGACAAGGAGGAGGAGAGAGGGAGGACTGATTATTGTTTGGAAAGGGAATCCCCCTCCATAAGGACTTCAGGTATCAAAGCCCTCTCTGGGGTTACTTCCTTCCCTGCCTGCTACACTCCCTGCCTCCATTCCACACTCCCTGTGTTCCTGCTACACTTCCTGCCTCCCTGCTACACTCCCTCCCTCTATGCTACACTCCCTGCATGCCTGCTACACTCCCTGTCTGCCTGCTACACTCCCTGCCTCTCTCCACATCTTCCATTGTTTGTGATCTCTTTTTCGTTAACATGTTTGCCCCTTTCACCACATCAGTTTCCTTGATTTGTTCTTTCTGAAATATGGAGCAAAATTTTGGCCCAAAAACTGGCCTAAATACAATTTGGCTGATAAACGTAGCGGCCGATATTTGGGGTTCCATTGTAATAATAATAATAATAATAATAATAATAATAATAATAATAATAATAATAATAATAATAATAATAATAATAATAATAATAATAATAATATAGTAGTATAATATTAACGAGGAGCTTCAGAATGCTGCCAGCTGGCCCAGTGCACTGTTTATCGTGCTGTAGAAGCATTTATCTTGTGTTTGCTTGCATTTTGTGTAGTTATTTTGCCAAATTTCTTTTTTCTAGCCATGGGTCCTCAGAAAGTAAGTGCAAAGGACAGTGCTTAGAAGAAAAAGATGATGCCCTTGGAATTAAAGCATGAAATCGCAGATAAACAAGAGAGGTGGGTTGTGGGTTGAGGAGGAAGCGGGGGAAGCTTGCTCGTAAATCAGAGCAAAAAATTGACCGAGTGACGGTTTGTATCTCGAAAAACTCGTATGTTGGGACGCTTGTAAGTCAAGGTCCCACTGTATTTCCTTACAACAGATAAGTCAACTGTAGCCATATATCCAGATGTATTTCTCTTAACCCTTTTGGGGCCTAGTTCTTAGGCTTTTCATGTATCCATTGCTCTTGTGCTACCATCTACAAGAAGAATATAGGGTACACAATAATATAGCCACTTTGGCAGCAAAATCAAAATCAATAAAAGGGGGGTAAAGCATCTGGGATAGATGGTATTAGCCTTGTCACTGTTGTGACTCCCAAAATTGGAGGGAGTATGAAGCAAGTGGATGCATTCAGATTTTTGGGAGTGGACATATTAGCAGATGGGTCTAAGAAAGATGAGGCAAACTGTAGAATAGATTGACAGGAATAAGGTGGATGGCATGTTGGGGGTGCTGAGGCATCTGTGGAAAGAAAGAATTTTATCTACTGGGGCAAAAACAGAGGAGACTGTACCAGAGTATAATGATACCAACACTTATATATGAAGTATTGCATGGCAGAAAAGAATAAGACCACCAAGGAAAAAATCTAAATCAGTGAATGAACACAAAACAAACACACACACACACCACACAGGCATGCATTCACTCTCACGAAAAATATAACTTAAAATATAAACTGAAAATATAACTGAATTTTGTCTGCCTATTTAGACCTCTGCTGAAGAGGACTACAGTTGAAGGTCTAAATATACAGACAAATTTCATTTAAGTTTATCCTTGATCTACCTGTGGGTTTCTTTTAAATACGGACTGACGAAAGGTTCATTACATTTTTTAATCATTGTATACAGTATATTGATTACTGAACAAAATAAATCTTGCTTACCTGACAGATATCACAGGGCTAGTGGCAGGATTCTTGGCCAAGTCAGCTTGTTGAAGGCGGTGTGCTCGAAGCTTGCGTTCCGCTAACAGAAAATATGTTGCCGTGATGTGATTGTACTCATTCCTGTCTAGTCCACTGAAAATAATGATTTCATATCATAATCACTGTATTGCTTCTAAATGCATTTATATTCAAAGAGCATAGAAACAACTTTGAATATAATCTAATTTCTATAAACATAATGCAAATTCTGAATGTGGAATGCAATAATTTAGCAAATTCAACATTATCAAAAAAGTAACATTCTCATCTTACAGAGTGGAGTTTTTCCAATCTATCTTGGGGACTTTGCTGTACAAAAGAAGATTAACAAATAAATAAATACATTTAAAAAATATTACCTTATAAAGCACTTTCAAGACAACTTTTTCTATAAGTAACAGTCAATCATGAATAGACTATGTAAAGAATAAAAAACCTACTCAAGTATCTCTTCCATTGATGCTATGTTCCCAGAAACCATCTTGTGTATGATGTGAGCATGGTCTTCCTCTGTAAGGTGTTGTCTGGACACTAGAGGCAAAACCTCTGCTGGATCCACAGTCCAGCCTTCTTGCAGCCATGGGTCACTTGCTATGTCCTCTAGAGTGGAGCGTTTCCCTGGGTCCCGGATTAACATTCGAGCTATTAAGCTGATAAGGACAATATGGATGAGTATCTAGTGAAAAAAGACGATAGCATACATAGAAAATTTGTTGCATAAATGCATTTTCGTGAATTATTACAAGTTACAGTACTGTAAATACTGTAACTTATTTATAAGATGCCTATTTATATCCAAATGTATGTACTGTACCTCATGCACACAGAGAATGGTGATAGAGCACTTGAAAAGTACAGTATAGACTTCACCACAGACTCACACACATCACAAATTAAAGGAAGGGAAAACATGCCTCACCAACTCAATAAAATTCTATGATAGGATCACTGAAGTAAGACAGGAATAGATGAGCAGACCGTGGGAAGGTCTTTGATGTGATGCCTTACAGATGAATGATGTGCAAACTGGAATAGCAGGCTGAGATACCAGGGAGTGTGATTCACTGGATAAAGAAGTACCTAACAAACAGAAGAATGTTATAGTGAGAGATGAGACACTGAAGTGAGATGTATGTAGTAACAAGTGGTGTTTGTTCCCAAGAATCAGTTCCCAGACCCACATAATTTTTTTTTTTTTTTCAACAAGTCGGCCGTCTCCCACCGAGGCAGGGTGACCCAAAAAAAAAGAAAGAAAATCCCCAAAAAGAAAATACTTTCATCATCATTCAACACTTTCACCACACTCGCACATTATCACTGTTTTTGCAGAGGTGCTCAGAATACAACAGTTTAGAAGCATACACATATAAAGATACACAACATATCCCTCCAAACTGCCAATACCACTATTTGCAGATGACATTAAACTAATGAGGATAGAAATTGAAGAGGACTGCAAATAACTGCAGGGCATGTATAAGTTGTACAACTCAAATACCAATAAATGTAAGGTGTCAAGACTGGGAGTAGATAGGAAATCATTGGAGAAGGAATTGTCAGTTGTTTTTTCTGATGACACGGTGCTTTTGAGAGATTCTGAAGAGAATGATGATACTCTTTAAAACACTTGCACTTTACAGACTGGAATATTACTCCACACTAATAGCCCCCTTAAAGAGGGTTGGTATTGTCCATGCTTTTAAAAGCATATACAATAAATTATTGGAATTGCCTAAAATTCCCTTTAACTTTATTCCCTGGAGTAAAGGCAAGAAAGAGTACTCCATCATAATTTAAACCTAGAAAATACTAGAACTTGTTCAAAATAGCCTTTTAAACAACAGCAGGAGACATAGTAGACTGCAAAATATCTTCAATAAAAAAAAGCAGGAGTGCAATAAGTAAATGTGAACTTAATAAGGCTTTGAACATTGCCTTCAAGAGCAAATTTTGAGAAAATCCTACAAACTGTTTGTTATGAGCCAAGCTGTGATGTCTGCCTTAAACTGCAAAACAAGCAACACACAACACCCCCTCCCCCAAGAAAAAGAGATGTGTTAGACTAACTTTCTGCAGGGCTGGGAGACATAGTCAGGGATGGTGTACTTGCAGTCCATGATCATGGTGAGGGTCTCGCTGTCGTTTGCCTCCTGGAAGGGCGCATGACCGCACACCAACATGTACAGGATCACGCCTAGTGACCATATGTCTGCCAGCATGTAATATTATATTAGTCACACATGCATACATTATATATACCTGTACATACATATGATGTAATAATATAAAGTTCATTCTCTTGTCAGGTGTAAAAATATATGTATCAAAACAGTATAAAAAATTACAAAATGCTTAGTATTTTTTTATCTTCATACATAAGAAATAGAATAAAAGGTTGAAAATTATTTGTTTCTGCATAAAATTGTAATTACTGACCAAAACACAAAGCCTCAAGTAACTGGGAGTATAGTATACTGATTAGTGTGAGAAGGGAACATTTTTAATATTACAGTACAGTGGACCCCCGGTTAACGATTTTAATCCGTGCAAGAGGGCTCATCGTTATGCGAAATAATCGTTATGCGAATGAATTTTCCCCATAAGAAATAATGGAAATAAAATTAATCCGTGCAAGACGCCCAAAAGTATGAAAAAAATTTTTTTTTACCACATGAAATGTTAATTTTAATACACACAAACTGAAAAAGGCATGCACAATTACATGACACTTACTTTTATTGAAGATCTGGTGATGATTGATGGGATGGGAGGAGGGGAGAGCATTATCTTCTTACTGTTTAGAAGGGGAATCCCCTTCCATTAGGACTTGAGGTAGCAAGTCCTTTTCTGGGGTTACTTCCCTTCTTCTTTTAATGCCACTAGGACCAGCTTGAGAGTCACTGGACCTCTGTCGCACAACAAATCTGTCCATAGAGCTCTGTACCTCCCGTTCCTTCAAGACTTTCCTAAAATGGGCCATAACATTGTCATTGAAATAGTCACAAGCACGGCTTGCAACAGCTGTGTCAGGGTGATTTTCATCTATAAAGGTTTGCAGTTCAACCCACTCTGCACACATTTCCTTAATCTTTGAAGTAGGCACAATGGATTCCACAACTGGCATAGGCTTCTCAGGGTTAGCCCCAAACCCTTCAAAATCTTTCTTAATTTCCATACTAATTCTCACCCTTTTTACCACAGGGTTGGCACTAGAAGCTTTCTTGGGGCCCATGGTCACTTATTTTCCAGAAACAGCACCGAAAATACTGTAATAATACGAAATATTCCGAGTGTATGCTTGGATGTTACCGCGGAGGCTGGCTGGTAAACAATGGGACGGAGCGGCACATGTGAGGCTGGATGAGGGCACATTGGACGCGTCTCGGACGAAAATCGGTATGCGGGTTTTTAATCGGTATGCGCGGCAAAAATTTTGCGATAAAAGTAATCGTTATGCGGAAAAATCGCTATGCGATGCCATCGTTATGCGGGGGTCCACTGTATATTCATGGAGAGGCACTGAGCCACAAGGGTCATATATCACCTGGGAAAAAAAAAAGAGTAACTAGGGTTAACCATTTGATTAAACTGCTTATGAATGGAACAGTCTACTAAGTGGGGTCACTGAAGCTACAACTTTGGGTAGCTTTAAAAGTATGCTGGACAAATACATAAGCGACAAAGGCTGAATCTGAATGGGACCAGCAGAGCATGGGTTAGCAGGAGTGTTGAAGCTTAAGCCTGGACAAAAGCTTGAGTGAGGGAAGGAAGGAGGGGGTTGGCTCTTGGGATGACTTGCCAAGTATGGGCCAACAGGCCTGCTCCATTATTCTTACATTCTTAAGAAGGGTAACCCCTATTCCATGGATCAAGAGCCCTTCGACAGAATAAAGGAAAAAAAAAAAAACTTTGAAGGGTGAAAGGAGGAGCCAGACTCCAAGACTTAAAGTCACTGACCAACTGCTGGAGCATCGTAGGAGTCTCCGAGTAGGATCTCCGGGGCAGAGTAGGCCAGGGAGCCACAGGAGGTCTCCAGCTTCTGGCCGGGGCAGAACTTGTTGCTGAAGCCAAAGTCGGTAAGTTTCACCATACCCAGCTTCTCAAAGAACACCACGTTCTCTGGCTTCAGGTCACGGTGGACGACGTGCAGCTTGTGGCAGAAGCTAATGGCATGCACGATCTGGCGGAAGTACTTGCATGCTGCACCCTCGTCCAGCCCCTTCTCATGCCTGCCAGGGTAGTCAACAAGTACTTAGTTTACAGGCAGGTAGGTGGTTAACATGGAGGTAGGTAGTCTACAGGTAGGTAAGTAGTCAACAGGTAGGTAAGTAGTCAACAGGTAGGTAAGTAGTCAACAGGTAGGTAAGTAGTCAACAGGCAGGTAGGTAGTCTACAGGTAGGTAGTTAGTCTACAGGTAGGTAAGTAGTCTACAGGTAGGTAAGTAGTCTACAGGTAGGTAAGTAGTCAACAGGTAGGTAGGTAGTCTACAGGTAGGTAGGTAGTCTACAGGTAGGTAGTCAACAGGAAGGTAAGTAGATAAGGAGTCAATATGTAGGTAGATAGGGGGTCAACATGTAGGTAGATAAGGGGGTCAACATGTAGGTAAATAGGTGGGTAGATAGTCAACAGGCAGACGTAGTCAAGAGATGGGTAGAATTATGAAAATGGAATACAATACCGACGAGTATGACACAAGTGAAAGTTAGATATCTTTATTGTCAAAACGTTTCAGTCGAATACAGCAGCAGAAGCAGTGGCGAGGTGAGATGCTAATAAATCCGTACGTTCTTGCTTCTACTAGTAGTGACTACATTTCCAGGCAATGACTACATCGAGATTTTCAGCGCCTAACCTCAATTAACATGTAAATAGGTCAGCTGAACTCTTCGCCAGGCTGAGATACTTACCATCTCCAAAAACTACCTCTTCAAAATTAACAGACTGATCATATCACTTTTACCTCATCACTGGTTCTGATGCTGTCTCCATATTTTGTCACCTCTGTATCCAATTGAAGAGGCCTACTGTGTAGGTGAAACCTTAGGATAATAAAGATACCTAACCGTGGCACGTAAGTCAAAGATTGTATCTAATACAGATAAGTGTGTAATTAAGACATGTACAGTACTAGGATAAATTTATGTTAACGAGACGTTTCGCTCACCAGGAGCTCTGTCAGTCTTTGTGTATGTGTGTGTTGAATGACCCACACGGGTTTAGTCTAATGTATGGTTTAGAAAGACACGTAAGCAAACACTATAACATATTTATTAGAAAACGTTTCGGTCCTGGGACCTTGATCACTTCTAACATACAGAGGTAGAAAGACATTATATATATAGGCGGAGAGTGAGATGTGACGCACGTGACCTGAGGAATGTCATAAGAACATAAGAATGGAGGAACACTGTAGAAGGCCTACTGGCCCATGCGAGGCAGGTCCTTATCAAAACAACCTCTGCCTATGATGAGGACCAGTAGACGATGAAATCATGTGACTCCTGTGTTGTTGGGTTGGTGCTGCTTAAGTATCATGTATGCCAATGTTTTTGAAATTTTGTAGTTTCCAGTGTTGCGTTCTATAGTGTCGGTGACGGTGATTAGTGAGGCTTCTAGGCACCGTCGGCGTCTGAGGTCTGGTTCGGTGAGAACGAGTTGTGCCTCGTTCCAGTTCATCAAATGCCCCGTGGAGTCTCTGTGGAGGACACAGGCGTACCTTACATCGTCTCTGTTAGAGGCATTTCGATGCTCATTCAGGCGGACTGCAAGATCTCTGCCTGTCTCGCCTACATATTTCTTGGGACAGAACCCACAGGGGATAGTGTAGACGCCTGCTGTGGAAGTTAGAGGTGTGGGGCTGCGTTTAGTAGTGAGGTCTTTGATAGAGGATGTGTTTATGGTGGAAACGATGATGTTACTCATAGCAAGTGCCCGGCGAGTATTCGTGGCAACATCGCCAGGCCCTTCTCAACAAGATCGATGCAGTTGAACCATCAATAAAGTTTACACTTGAACTCGAAAATGATGGCAAACTTCCTTTCCTCGACGTTCTACTGTGCAGATCTCCCGACAGTGACAAACTTCTCTTCAAAGTGTATAGAAAACCTACCAACAAGGACGATCTTATACACTTTTATTCACACCAAGATACCCGCACTAAGAGAGGAGTCCTCATTGGCTTCTTCTTGAGAGCTCTTCGCATCTCCAGCCCTTGTTTTCTAGAAGAAGAATGCACTTACATAACACAAGCCTTTACACGTCTTCAGTTCCCATCTTTCTTCATCCGAGATTGCAGACTCAAGGCACAAGCTATCCTCAACAAACCGCCCATGGAACAGCCCCCTAAACAGTTCATAGTACTCCCATGTGGCGATGTTGCCACGAATACTCGCCGGGCACTTGCTATGAGTAACATCATCGTTTCCACCATAAACACATCCTCTATCAAAGACCTCACTACTAAACGCAGCCCCACACCTCTAACTTCTACAGCAGGCGTCTACACTATCCCCTGTGGGTTCTGTCCCAAGAAATATGTAGGCGAGACAGGCAGAGATCTTGCAGTCCGCCTGAATGAGCATCGAAATGCCTCTAACAGAGACGATGTAAGGTACGCCTGTGTCCTCCACAGAGACTCCACGGGGCATTTGATGAACTGGAACGAGGCACAACTCGTTCTCACCGAACCAGACCTCAGACGCCGACGGTGCCTAGAAGCCTCACTAATCACCGTCACCGACACTATAGAACGCAACACTGGAAACTACAAAATTTCAAAAACATTGGCATACATGATACTTAAGCAGCACCAACCCAACAACACAGGAGTCACATGATTTCATCGTCTACTGGTCCTCATCATAGGCAGAGGTTGTTTTGATAAGGACCTGCCTCGCATGGGCCAGTAGGCCTTCTACAGTGTTCCTCCATTCTTATGTTCTTATGACATTCCTCAGGTCACGTGCGTCACATCTCACTCTCCGCCTATATATATAATGTCTTTCTACCTCTGTATGTTAGAAGTGATCAAGGTCCCAGGACCGAAACGTTTTCTAATAAATATGTTATAGTGTTTGCTTACGTGTCTTTCTAAACCAACTTGTCGGTATTTATTACCAAGGTTTATACCAGTCTAATGTATGTTTCAAGTATACTCAAATCTCAGCACACGTTTTCTTATAGATGGTTAACATACCAACTCAGCATATTTCGTACATTCACATCGCAGTTAATAACTAAGGTGCAGCAATACCATCATTTCATTCATACAAGTCGGTATAGTAGTTCTTATCCTCTAAGTGGAAATAAAAATTGAACGACGTTTCGGTCCATCTCGGACCTTTATCAAATCACTAGTTGCTTGAAAACGGTTCATGACAGACCAAAACGTTGCCCACTTTTCATTTCCAATTTGTGAGCAGGCTGCAAAGGTCTCCACCTGCAGTATAGTAACTTTCATTCTTAATTACAAAGTCAAACAAGACCTACCAATTTGGATTAATGTTTTCCCAAGAGCAAAGAGTGAGAGGGGAGTGGTAGAGGACTCACTTCATGATGTAGTCGTACATGTCACCACCGTCGGCCCACTCTAGGATGAGGTAGAGTTTGGTTTGAGTGTCGATCACCTCGTAGAGTCTGACAACGTTGGGGTGTTGCACGAGCTTCATGCAGCGCACCTCCTGGAACAGGTGAGCCCGCGACACCTCGTCCAGCTTCATCTTGTCTATCACCTGCACCCAAGACAACAGCAGTAGGTCATCACGCAAATATTACAACTTAGTCGGGAGAAAGGCAAGAGGCGGAGACAAGAGCTAGACCTCTTCTTTTCCTCGTAAATTCATGTGTGTAATTAGAGTTTCAGCTATGTAGGTTAACTGAGAGCAACAAGTTTGTTTTTTCTTAACATGGTAGCGATATAATTTTATGACAGATGGACTAGAGCAAGTCCCTACTACACTCTAACCTAAGGTCATGGGAGAGAGAGAGAGAGAGAGAGAGAGAGAGAGAGAGAGAGAGAGAGAGAGAGAGAGAGAGAGAGAGAGAGAGAGAGAGAGAGTCTTAATAGATTAGCTTGTCCTGAATTCCATCTAGTCTTACGTATTTCGTGGAAATACGAGCCTAATACACCCACAATAATCAAAGTACAATACAATATACACATGGGATATAACAGGTATCTAATTCATGGTATTTTGACTTCTCTCAAGTCAACTCAATATATCACGTATCCCTGGGATTTATGTATCACTCTTGACAGTGATCCTGGGATTTGTGGACCTGGGATTTATGAAGCACTTGGCAGTAACCCCGGGATTTATTGTTTGTTTTTTGGCAGTGACCTAAAGATTTATGGATCAATCTTGAGAGTGATCCAAGGATGCGTGTGCACACACACATCTAAGAGTGAGAGCCAACGAGAGTGAGCGAGTGAGACAGTTACCTTGACGGCCACCTTCTCTCCGGTGAAGACGTGTCTGGCCAGCTTGACGACGGCATAGTGGCCACGTCCCAGCGTCTCCTCCAAGTCATACAGGCCAGCAATCTTGCCATCGTACCCGCCCACGCTCATAGTAGCTGCACCTGCAACACAAACACAAATGTAGTAAATGTACCTACAACACCACAAACACAAATATAGCTGCATTTGCAATACAAACACAAATGTAGTTGCACCAGCAGCCTTGCACTATCTTGAGAAAACACTGGAATATTGCACAACGTTGAGGCAACAGCATTATAAAATTGCACAATTTGTCTTGCAGTAAACAAAAGCAGCGTTGGGGCAAGAAGATGCAGCGTGAATTTAGTGTTTACCATGTTAATTTGAGAAACTTTGAGATGTGGCGGTACAATACCTGATAATATATACATTTACCCCTCCCAATGTCGGAGAAAGTGAGAGAGAGAGAGAGCGAGAGAGAGAGAGAGAGAGAGAGAGAGAGAGAGAGAGAGAGAGAGAGAGAGAGAGAGAGAGAGAGAGAGAGAGAGAGAGAGAGAGAGAAGGCTGTGGGCCCAGATAAGGTAAGCCCAAGATTGGTGAGTAGATGTACAGACCATCTAGCATCACCTCTAACTCACATCTATCAGCACTGCCTAGTAGTATAGTGCAAATGGCCTTCTCCTTTGGAAAGTGGCATATACAATACCTGTTCACAAAAAGAAGAGCAGAGCGGAAACCAGGAACTACAGACTAGTGTCACTCCTGTCAATCAGCGGCAAGATTCCTGAGACAATAATCTCACGGCAGATGACAGCGTTCATCGACTATCACTTGCTTCTTTGTGACCGTCAATACGGATTCAGAAAATGTATCACAGGTCACCCTGCTGCTGATCTGCTGTAAAACCTCTCCACTATGTGGCATCAGTCACTGGATCAATCCAAGATCAACTGTGTAGCTGAGCTGGACATTGCTGGTGCTTTCGGTGGAGTAAGGCACTAGGGACTCATGGCAAAACTGCAAGCACTAGGAGTCGCTGGCTCTTCACTATACCTCCTGAGTGATTACTTTCAAGGTGGCACTGCTTAAAGTTGGCTCTGCTTAAACTTGGCACTGCTTTAGTTCATTCAGATTTACATGATAGTTTCACATTTATCGGACATTACCAGAGCATCGTCACAGATTTTACACTCGATTATGACTCCTGAAACCTTCTCTCTCTCTCTCTCTCTCTTTCTGATTCATGCATACACCCACTCCTTCCTTCACTCACTCTCACACTCCCTCATGCAATGTATGATTTTGTGGTTTTTGTGTTGTCTGTGTTATGATGATGCGAGAGTAGCGCCACAAGAACACTGTCTTGGCCAACACTTTGTTATTATACTCAGATGAATTTTGATTTACTAACTACTTGTAGTCAATTCCGGGGGTCATCGCTCTCCCCCTGCGGCCTGGTCCCAGACGAAGCCTGACCAATCAGGCTGTTGGTGCTAGTGGCAAGCAGTAAATTAATATCCACTTCCCTACTTTACTGCTATAACCTTCTGACCTCATCTTATAGGCTATCACTACGTACATTTACTTTTAATATACCTTTGATTAGTTTCGAGAGTTTTCCTACTTACACAGCCTGGCCCAGGGCCAGGTTTATCTAGTGTTTGCCTGGTCAACCAATCTGTTACTGCTGGCGGCCTGCTGGCCCATATATCCATCACAGCCTGGGTGATCCATCACTTTGAGAAAGTACTTGTCCAGTTTCCTTCTGAAGACAGTTCTGCACTTGTTTCGACAGTGTTTCTGAAGAGTGTGGGCTCAGGGTGTTGATACAATGTTCTCTTACTGTACCCACGACGTCCCTGCTTTTCACGGGGTCTACTTTACATTTTTTTTTTTATCTCTTGCTTAAGTGTGTTATGGCAATGTGCAGATTTGGTACTAGACTCTCAAGTACCTACCAGGTATATATTATCATAAATGTATCTTTCCTCTGCTCCATATTGAGGACTCTGAGCGCTCCCATCCTTACTGGTTTTATGCGGGCTGTATCTGTTTCAAGTCTGATATATCTCTTGCTCTGAACGAAGCCTCAACACTAAACGTATTAATACTTTGACCGAGACAGTACACACGATTTAAACGGTGGCACTATTTCCCTTGTTTTGAAATTATCGACCTGGCACTTTCCTGGCTTTCGTGACATTTGCCTTATTGTGTTCCTTAAAAGAAAGGTCAGCTGACATTATTACAACCAGTCTTTCACATATTCCTTTTGTTCTATTTGGTGATCTTGATTTCTGTATACATTGCCCCCTCTGAGTTCTCCATTCTTTTCTTTCAGTATATAAGCAGATGGAACTTGTCACCATTATGAAGAGTGACATTAGGGCTACTGGTCTACAATTTTTAGCTAGCGCTCTACTGTATCCTTTATGCAAAAGAGCTTCGTCTGCACTCTTGAAGGTCTTTTAGGATTTCATCTAGATCTAAGATCTTTCTCCAAAGAATACTGAGTATTCGTGCTAATAATCTTTTACACTTCTTTATAAATAATGACTGCTAAACATTGATTTATATTGGTCTTCTAAAGTTTCACTCTTTTTCATCGTCGGTGTATGAAGGCCTGTGATTAATAGTCCACTTCTACAAATACTTCTTAAGATGAGATAGTTACTAACTTGGATTTTGCATATATGTAGAAATGTGGAAATTTTTACAATATCCTAGATGGCTCGTTTCTTCGTGCTTCTTCTGGTCACACTTAGTCTTTTTTTTCAGAATCCATGTGTGCTACAGCTGGGTAAGCTCCTCGAATTAGTTCCTGATCAGCCTACCTACCTGGAGTCTACCTGGAGGGCATTCCGAGGATCAACGCCCCCGCGGCTCGTTCCACGACCAGGCCTCCCGGTGGATCAGAGCCTGAGCAACGACGCTGTTACTGCTGGCCGCACACAATCCAACGTACGAACCACAGCCCGGCTGATCCGGCACCGTCTTTAGGTATCTGTCCAGCTCCCTCTTGAAGACAACCAGGAGTCTTCCCTTAATACCCCTTATTGCTGGTGGGAGGCTGTTGAACAGTCTTGGGCCCCGGACACTTACTGCGTTTTCTCTTAGTGTACCAGTGACGCTCCTACCTTTCACTGGGGGTATGTTGCATCGCCTGCCAAGTCTTTCGCTTTCGTATGGAGTGATTGCTGTGTGCATACTAGGGACCAGTCCCTCCAGAATCTTCCAGGTGTAGATTATATCTCTCTCTCGCCTGCGTTCTAGTGAGTACAAGTCAAGTGCTTCCAGGCGTTCCCAGTAGTTAAGGTGTTTGGTGGAACTTATACGTGCAGTAAAGGTTCTCTTAGTCTGGGACCGTGTCGGGGGTGGTTACCCCTGAAATTATTTTCAGGCTGAGGCAACCTTCAGGCATTGTGGCAACGTTTCGCTCTCTATGAGCTTTATCAAGCCGTAACCTTCAGGTAACCTCTGATAGTAGTGTAACAGCTGGAAGAAAGAGTATCTACTTACACTAGACTCATCGTGAGCTGGAGTGTATAGCTCCTGCCTTACCATAAAACTGCCAAGTTTTATGTATATTTTATATACATGACGTCATTAATATTCATATAAGAATTTAAGCACAAATGCATATCACAAAATTCGCCGAGTCCAGGAAATCACCTGGTCCGTGAAACCACCTATTCCGGGAAACCAATGGGTCTGGGTAACCACCGGTCCGGGTAACCACCGGTCCGGGGAACCACCGGTCCGGGGAACCACCGGGTTCAGGGAACCACCGGGTCCGTGAGACCATCGAGTTCAGGGATACCGTCTTGGAATGGGAGGCACTGCGTCCGGGGGAACCGTCTAGGCACCTCCACCGTCTCGGAGACGGTGCCAGTGGTACGGGACGACTGCGAAGTCACTCCTGGGAAATCACTGCAGCTCTCCAGATTCAAGTCAAGATTTTCAGAATCCGCCACTTGATTTATAGCGGGAGATGAGAGTGCTGTCAAGTGCCCTGGGAGAACTGCGGTAAAGCTCTTTCAGCTCTCTGAGAAATCTGGAATTGAGACGTTTCAGTGACCTGAAACTGGGATAACATTGGTCTAATACCCTGACTGAGAGATGCAACTCTCACTGATGATGGCAAAGAAATGAGTAAACATACAGTCGACACGGTGCTCACAGTCTCAGTAGTAGTAACCAGTTACCAGTAACCAGTTACCAGTAACCTGTCCGTTGACTCAACGACCAACCGTCTTGAGTCACGGTCTGTGCTGAGCTGACACTATTTTCAAAAGACCCACTACGGGGTACTGGCCAGCCGGCTAGTCAGTTTTACGAGTGTAACCAAGGAGATAGGTAACGGCTGCGGGTTCTCTCCACATATCTACGATTATACGTAATAACAGCCTACGTGAGTATTTCTACCCTAATCCACGTATCGAACTCCCACATGATAAATGGTGAAGAACTTTACTTGCAACGAGTTATGCCATCTCTTGCTGATGCCACAAGCCGTGCAGAAAGACGTTTCTGTGGCTAGTGTGCTCACTTGAGTGTTGTTGTTGTCCCTTGTGTTTCAGATTGTGATCCCATCCTAGTTGACAGTAATCAGTGCATTGTAAGAAGTTATTTCTCGAGTAACTTCCACGTTGTTAAAGTTTGTAAGTGTAGTTTCTTTATAGTTGATACCTCGTGTCACTGTGTGCGACTCAGTATATCAGCATTGTTTACCGTGTTCATTGTGCTTGTAGTAGATAGTAGATTCGTTCTCCCTTGCTATATTGCGTGTTATAGCGTTAATTTCTCAACCGGGGGGAGTATCCACTTCACCGAGTTTGTTCATTCCTCCAGTAAGAAAGAACAGATCCCATGTGGTCTGGTGTGATTCGATTCCTGCTCCAGGAAGATCTTATTCTGACTGTGAAGCCACCAGCTCCCATCAGTGACTTTCTCATGAACCAAGAATTACTGTATCGAACAGCCGAGTTGGGTACTCCTAGCAGAAGAGTATACCAGTTAGTAATTCCACAGTCACTAGTGAATGTAGCCTTACAGCTAGTTCACGATGTACCAGGTGTTGCACACCCTGGTATGGATCGTTCAGTAAAACAAGCCAGATTGAAATACTTTTGGCCTCGTA